GGGAGGGTGGAGGGAGAACGCAGGAGGGGAAGACCCTCTATGAGATGGATTGATTCGGTGACTGGGATAATAGGGATGGGTGTGCCAGAGGCGGTGCGGTTGGCGCAGGATAGGGCAGGGTTTAGGGCTGTTGTGCATAGGGTCGCTATGAGTCGGAAACGACTCGACGGCACATAACAACAACAACATTTGAATCACATTTAACATGTAGATTGCTTTTGGTAGGATTGTCATTTTCACCATATTGAGTCTTCTTGTCCGTGAACACGGAACATTTTTCCCATTCATTTAGATCTTTTATTGTTTCTTGCTGAAAGTTTTTTGTTGTTTTCTTTGTACAGGTCTTTTGTATCTCTACTTAAGTTCATTCCCAGTATCTCAGTTTGTGATTGGCAATTGTAATTGGTATTTCTTGCCTTCCTTCTCTATGTTTTCTTTGTTATTATAATTCCACTGGGTTCTGATTATTCTAGTTACCTTTCCAATGCTGAACTTCTTATAAAGTTAAGCTTCTCTGACTGTATACTGAAATTTTGTCTGTTAGAAAAGAGAAAGATTAGGGGAGTTCTGGTGGTCTAGTGGCAAGAAGCTACACTGAAATCCCAGAGGTGCGCAGTTCGAATTCACCAGATGCTCTGCTGGAGGAGCAAGGACAATCTCTTCCAGTACCGGTCGGATCCGATTTGACAGTACACACACACAAAAAAAATAAAATTTTTCAAAAAAAATTTTAAAAAGAGAGAGAAAGATTAAACATGCGTGTCCTAGGGATAAAAATTTGCCTACCAGAAAGTACACAGTTCAAACCACTGGCTGCTTTGTGGGAGAAAGATAGACAGTCTCCTACTCTGTGATTTATAGCCTCTGAAAATACACAGGAAGGTTTACTATAAGTCTCTTCCTACTCGACAGTACATAACAACAACTTGGTTTCTTTTAAAAAAAACAAACTTGTCTTAAAGTGAATTAGAAAAATTAAGGAATTGTAAAATTTTCTTTTGGTTCTTAAACTAGTAAGCCAGTGTTCAAATATAATACTCTGGCTTGTATCTGGGTTCCATAGTATATTCTAAGTATGAATGTTACTTTTTTTTTTTTTTAAGATTGTAAGTTTTCGCTTTTCTGTATCTCGACAGCTCGGCAATTCATGCACCAGATCATCACAGGAATGTTGTATCTTCATTCTCATGGTATATTACATCGGGACCTCACACTTTCTAACCTCTTACTTACACGTAATATGAACATCAAAATTGCTGATTTTGGTCTGGCAACTCAATTGAAAATGCCACATGAAAAGCACTACACATTATGTGGAACTCCTAATTACATTTCACCAGAAATTGCAACCCGAAGTGCCCATGGACTTGAATCTGATATTTGGTCCTTGGGTTGTATGTTTTATACATTACTTATTGGAAGACCACCATTTGATACTGACACAGTCAAGAACACATTAAATAAAGTTGTATTGGCAGATTATGAAATACCTACTTTCTTGTCAAGAGAGGCCAAAGATCTTATTCACCAATTACTTCGTAGAAATCCAGCAGATCGTTTAAGTCTATCTTCAGTATTAGACCATCCTTTTATGTCCCGAAATTCTTCAACAAAAAATAAAGCTTTGGGAACTGTAGAAGACTCAATTGATAGTGGACATGCCACAATTTCTACTGCGATTACAACTTCTAGTACAAGTGGTAGTTTATTTGATAAGAGAAGACTTTTGATTGCTCAGCCACTCCCAAATAAAATGATGGTATTTCCAAAGAATAAAAATTTAAGTGATTTTTCTTCAGGAGATGGAAATAGTTTTTATAATCAGTGGGGAAATCAAGAACAAGAAACCACCAACAGCAGGGGAAGAGTAATTCAAGATGCAGAAGAAAGGCCACATTCTCGATACCTTCGAAGAGCCCATTCCTCTGATAGATCTGGCACGTCTAACAGTCAATCTCGAACAAAAACATATACTATGGAACGATGTCACTCAGCAGAAATGCTTTCAAAATCTAGATCAGGAGTAGATGAAAATGACGAGAGAAGTTCACATGCAAACAGCAATGTCAATATTTATCCCTTCTTTAAAGAAAAGACGTCTAATAGTTCTGGATCTTTTGAAAGAGCCGACAACGACCAAGCACAGTAAGAATACTTAAAAGTGTTTTCATTTTCACAAACATTCTATTGACATAAATCTGATATTTCACCTAAGGGGGGTTACCAGGGTAACGAGTATCCTTTTTTTTTCCTCTAACAGCCTCAGATGTTCTTGAGGTAATTTCAACTATAATTCCTATTTATTAGGAAGAGAATAGAAATTGTGTTTTCAGTAATACTTGAAAAACCTTTTTTTTAAAAAAAGCAAGTTTGTCTGTATAGGATATTTATTGTTGAGGACTTTTTGTTTCCTTTTTTACACATAGAGAAAGAAAAACTGACCCTAACTGCTTATTAATCATACATTTGTTCTGGAATTTTTAATTACTTAAATCAGAAAGAAATCTCCCTTTTCTAAATTTTTGAAAATATTTTTAATAATTTTTCATTCATTTATGAGAATTTTTATTTTTTGCATATTTAGCTCCAATCATCTTTGTCCAAGAAAAACTCCTTTTCCATTTTCAGACCAGACATCTCAAACTGAAGTGGTACAACAGTGGTTTGAGAATCTACAACTAAATGGTGAGTTTTTAATGAAATTTTAATAAAAAATTAAGACTTTAGCAGTTACTAATCATTACCATTTTCTAAAGCAAGTAATGCCTAATAAAGATATATAATACTGTTAACATGTTTGATGTATTTATTGTAAGCCAGCCACTGTACATGTTTTTAATATATTCTCACAAAAACTGTGTAGTAGTATCATCCTCCAGAGATGAAAAAAAATAATGGTTCAAAGAACTTAATTTTTGCCCAAGAGTTCAGTTTGTTCTTAAACCCTCTATTTTTGCATCCCTTCTACAATAAGCACCTATTAACAGTGCCTATAAAGTAGTTGAAGATGCTTGATTTTATTTTTAAGTAGTATTTGATATGGGCATTATATTTATTATTGGGACCTCACATATGCTAAACTAAACCGCTACTAAAGCCTAAGCATCTTTAAACAGCTGTCATCTAAGTTTATTAATGGATGTAGAGTTTGAAGGTTTAAACATTTCTCATTAGTGAACATGACAGAGTCACATAAGGTGTACTGGAAAATAATGAAGGGATAAAGAGAATAATGAAAATAAACAGCATATGGATAGGAGGAGGTAATTTTTTACAAAGTATTGTGTTACCGCATAGACAAAGACTTTATAATACTGCTGTAACTTAAAGCTTAGTTGTTAAATCATCTCAAAGGACTATTTTTTTTTTAGTATGTCTTTTTGTGAGCCCAGAAAAAAGGAATTCATCTTTTCATACCTACCTGTTGCTGATAATAAATTTTTTTTAAAGTAAAATTGCTATGAAATTAATCTTGCATTTAACCTTCTGTTATGTTTACAAATACTCTTAATAATGTGGAAGTATCCTGAGATGGAAAATAGCCTTATTTATAATAATAATGTTAATAATCCATCAACTCTAAAGATGACTCTTTTTATGCCATAAAATATTTTTTTTCTTATGATAAGAGAGAGCACTTCAATCATTTTTTTTTAGCACTTCAATCATTTAAGGAAAATACTAGCAGTACATGTTTTTAGAATTAAGCATTTAAAAAATTGCTCATTTTAAGGAATCATTTAAATAATAATTATGAATTAGTAAAATTATGTTCCCTTTGAGCTCTAAAACATATAAACTATAAATTGGCAAATTTAGTGGATTAAAATTTTAGTGAGAATGTTTATTTTAGAGTAATATTAAATTTATAACATACAATAATTATACTGTTGTTATTTCACACATTGATATGTTGTCTTTTTTATTGTATATTTTTTAAGTAAAGGTGGGATAAACTTTTTATCTTGAAGACAGTAAAAGTAGATTGGGTTTTTGTTCCTTAATAAAGAATATACTATTTTATTAAATTATTTTGCATATACAGGCTCTTTCTTTGTTCGCTAAATTGCTTTGTTGTATGTTCGTTATAGCTCAATTAAGAGAACCTACTGAACTCCTCGGCATTGGGCCAAATAGAGATTTCCAGGACCTTTTTGATTGGTGAAAGGACACAGCAAGAAATGCTTGGCCTGAAAAAAGAGCCAAAAAGAACTTTGACATTTCCGATAAGGCACATTCTGTAAAACAGCCAAATTCTGTGAAATATATGCCTTCACTTCATACTAAACCTGAAATAATTCAGCAAGAACCTGTATTTGGCTATGATCCTCTTTCTGAACAAAGCAAGACCAGGATTGTGGAATCACCATTAGGTTATCAGCAATGTACATTACGAAGCCTTACATCTCCTTTGACTGCTCACAGGTTAAAACCAATCAGACAGAAAACCAAAAAGGCTGTGGTATGTTTCATAATTTCATTTTTTAAAATAATTGTATGACATCTTTAAAATAAGAGTTTTAGTATAAGACATATACTTTCTTTTAGTGTCCTTATACTTTGGGATATGTACATGAGAAACTTATTTTAAAAATAAGCTTATTATGGGGAAAAATAGCTCTTATTACCCATTGACTACTTTAAGAATGGTGAATTGATAAAGTTTTGACTTTTAAGTTACTGATAATGAAAAACTAAAAGAATATTTACTATATAATAAATATTTCATCATTCTAAATACCAAATTAATAATTAATATTATTCCTTTGTTTTTATTGTCTTAACAGTTTGGTCTCAAGTAAAAATTGTAAACTGAAGAACATTATCATTTTAAAATTTTTAATCTGAAATTTGAGAGAATATGCATATTCCAAAATGTCATGTATTAGTTGGGAATGGTGCTTCTTTTTCAAATTTTCTGTCTTCATTGTTTTTGTCCTTTGTTTCCCATTTCACCAGTCTGTCTTTGTTTGGCTTACCATTTACTGTCTTTTCAAAGTCCTTATTCTCCACCCTACCTTCTGCTTCCATTTTGCTCACTGGTTCTCATTTCATATTTCATTGTACATTAGTGCTTATTAGGGTTCACACTTGGGCTTGTGGTTCATTCAGACTTTCCACCTGAAGCAGCTGTTTGATTTTTCACTGTAGTTTCTGTTCCTGCCATGGTTAAGTACTTTTTTCCCTTAAGTATACCAGGGCTTTTCTAGTAGAGAAATAAGAGAACTTTTATTGATGGGGGTTTTGTTTGTTTTTTTTTAGGTGAGCATACTTGATTCAGAGGAGGTATGTGTCGAGCTTCTAAAAGAGTATGCATCTCAAGAATATGTAAAAGAAGTTCTTCAAATAACTAGTGATGGAAATATGGTAATATGAATTTACTTTATTATTTTGCTATTTCAGTCATTGCTTATTTATTTAGCATCAAATTAGTTCTACATTGTTGTTATATGCTATTAAATCAGAACCTACCATAGTAGTATCCTTTTTAAAAAATGTTTTTATTATTATTAAT